CAAAATCGCTAAAAAAATCAGAAAAAAACAATCTCATTGCAAAAATTCTAAAATCGGAAAAAAAAAACTGAAAAAAAAAATTTAATGGAATCGAATTTCACAAAAATGGTACATTCTTTTGACAAACTTCGTAAGGACCTCAAAACATTTGCTGTAAAAAATCGTCGAACAAGTTTAAGATTTTTTTTCTTTTTTCAATTTCTATTCTTTTTTTGTATAAATTTTATAAAAGAAAGTATGTCCGTTACTACGCTTATAACTCAAGAACGGGTTGACGGATTTTAAGAATTCATATAATTTCGGATTGTACACAATACGATATTAAATGGCGATCTTTCATCCTTAAATTGACATCTAGCTTTCAATTCCAGGACCTACATTGTGCTTCAGCTGGAAAATGCGAACACATTTAAACAAACAAAAATGACCGACAAAGCGTTATGGACTAATTTCAAAACGTGGACCTACTTTTTTCGTATGACAATAATCCGTCCCATGATAACTCAAAATGCTAAATTAATTGTGACTGCAATCAGTGAAATGCCGAATATAAGTGGTAGTAGAGCGAATTGGACATTTAGTATAAAATGGATTTCTTCCTAAACTTTCAAGATACCTTAAATCGCTCTTGCAGGTCATAACCCCAGGATAAGGGTACAAGCCGATTTCAAATATATTTTACATTTTAAGCTTATTTTTTATACCAATTTCGGCAAATGTTGGTAATTTGAGAAGCAGCCACCATAGCAAAGAATGATCACGTTTTGGTATAACCATCACATTGTTTAAGCTATTTTTGGGGTCCTGACCACTTTTTAAATTTTTTGGCCCTTACTTGGCATCTTTGTTTCTAAGGGGGTAGAAACCCTATTCGCATAAAATAGGGCCCATCTTAGTCTTGACCACTTTCATCAATTCATTTGGCTAAAAAATAGTATTTAGGCTAGGGTAGAAAACCATCTTATAGATAATTGTCCACGTAGGCATTTATTTAAGTATAGTCCCCACATTATGTGTACCCGAAAGTCCACTTTCCTAACCAATGTGTGGTCAGGAAAAAAAATTATATTCTATTGAATTTGTAACCTCCAAGAGAACATTGGTTCGGAAAGTATATTTGGGATGTACGTCTATATGAAATAAACTCCGAAATGTCAAATTGGGACTCATTCAGTCGGAAATTGTGGCAGACACATCAAAAAAAAAAAAAAAAAAAAATCCGAATACTAGAAAGCAACACTGGACCGAACATTTGTTTAATAGTCATTGAATTATACTATGATGAAGAATATGGAATTTATGGGGTCACCAACGCACAATTTAAATGACAAAAAAATAATTCTATTCTTACGGTAATGGGCGTAAAAGAGTAATTATCTTTGACTATTCTGAAATCATTCTGCTCTCAATTATGAGGAAATAAAAATTACAAATTACAGGTAATTTTAATAGAAAATGTTGCCAAACTTTTTACAATACCAAAAATTGAGCTGAGCTGGACATATATTCTCCACTAATACACAAACGTTGTTTTTTTTTAAACAACAATATTGTTTGTATCAAAACCTTTTCGTTTCATTGAGAATATACTTTTATTGAAAAGCGTATGCTGCATGTAGATACATTTGTATATCAAGGTTAATTAAATTATAAATCTATTAAGAAATCACGATTTGATTTTTTTTGCTGCCAGTTCTTGGCTCCCACATATTGTTTCTTTTTTTTCTTGATCGTGTATTTAATGGTGATTTGAGAAGAGCTTTGGTAGCTTCTCTAGACAAACAAAAAAAAACAAAAGACTTAAGAAACGAACATACGCATCAGAATGTAAATAAAAAAGCTTTTATTTTATTTCATCATCAGCCAATTTGGTATTTCTGAAAAACTCAAAAGTTTTTGCTAGAAAATATCTGAAAACTATTTTTTACAAAGACAAAATTCCTATATGTATTATTGTCACACAACTATCGGTAGAAATATTGGGATGTGCAAAGTTTGGGAAAATCACAAAAAATGATAATTCCACAAATTTTGGGTGGCGGGCTGAGGAACCGGAAGGTATGGTTAGGTATTGTCCATTCTCCACCTTATTCTAAATATAAATGAAAAATTTACGATGTGGTCAAAGCTGTTACTTCAAGAGGTACATTTCGGGCCTATCTGTAGCCAAAGCCCGAGAGTGTAAATCTAAAATCTTCATTAAAAACAAATTATTTATTATTTAGATTTAATAGAATACATTAAAATCAATAAATTTATATATGTATGTGCAGAAAGTACTCAGATATGAATTAAAAATATACATCCCAAGGCTTGGATGAACAAATTATCGGTAAGCCGACAGCCAACACATGACTATCTAAGCGATAGTGTCAATACTGTACACTACTAAGGAAAAGTTCGACAATTCCAAAATTCGAAAATTTTCAAGTTTGGTTAGGAGTTCCGAAAGGGTGATATTTTAAATATTGTCTTTTTGACAACACTGTGTTGAATACCTCACGTGCATTTCCTGTTTTGTTGGTCTATAATTTAACAAACGAACAACGCTTGCATATTATTGAATTTTATTAGAACAAGTTAAATAGTATCAGTCGGATTTGTCGACAGATGTACTCCCCCTCTATGGGGGAGGTTCCGAAGCAGTTGACCAATATTGTACAATTCGTACCTGACCTATGTTTAATATGAATATTACAACGTGCCATATTTGGACTATATCGTCTACTTCTCATACTTTATATGAGATATGTGACAATTTTTGGAAAATGTGGAAATATGCATGAGGAACATTTATATCCAATTTTATACGAAATCATAAATTGCAATAAATTACATATTCGTATTAGATTTCTGGTTAAGAGAAGCGCAAAAGGAGTGCGCTAATATATCCCATTTCCACAGCAGATTTTGTATTAGTAAAAATAATGACATGTTTTGAAATTTGTAGAGAACCGGGTGCTTATTTCGGATTTTATAATCGTTTCGGTTATTCAAAACTTTGACTCTTTGTGCGGGAGGTACCAGAAGAAATGGTCCGATTTCTACCATATTTATAACAGATCTTGTGTTGATGGAATGGAATCGAATGTTAATTTTTCGTTTTACAAGCTTCATGGATGTTCAAAATTTTGAACCTTTGTGGGGGAGATACCAGAAGAAGTGGACCAGACCTCGAGTTAATAATGAAATTGTGATGTGCGTGATGGACGGACGAACAACGCTAGATCGATTCCAAATGTCCTGAAACGGATTTGGTCCAATGATCCAAAGACCTGGGGTTTAAAACCGTTATTTCCACCTAGGGTCTAAAACCGTTATTGGCCGTATCAAATGACCCACCTTTACCCACCCCTTTCAAATGATTAGTTATATGAAAAGGGTGGGTCAAAAGTCAAGAGTTTGATGTGCATGCCGTATGGTACAACAAGATGGTGCAACATGCCACACAACAATTTTATTCACATCTGAACATTTTATTTCACTTTCGGGACCGGTTAATTGGCCACATAGATCGTGCGATTTAACGTCTTTTGTGGGGCTATGTTAAAGCTCGTGTCTATACAGACGAGTACGCCTGAATTGAAGCATTGAAAGACAATATTGAAGCATTCATTCATGAGATACCGGCCGAAATGTTGGGTTGGGATTAACACAAAATGTGATTAAGCGGATGAACCATTTGAGTCCTTGTCGCGGTCAACATTTGCAAGAAATAATCTTCAAAACATTGAAAAATATGAGGCGTGCTATCATTTCAAATAAAGATTTTATATATTTTTGGGTAATAGTGGTTGGGTGTCCATTGGTATATCCAACTAGCAAACAAAAATATCGCAAGTTCAATGGGTCTATGTGTGCTAAAATTAAATATGTACAAATTCAAGTCTAGTGTTCTAAACATAGAACGATTGCCTTTTTAATTTATTTATTGGTTCTTGGTGACACTAACAAACTTAGAATACTACTCTCTATAACATGTACATGGTTAAGTGCGGGCGAGTATGTACTCAAAAGCCCTATTATTTGGTAATGAGAGTTTTTGTAGGAAATGTGAAGTTTGAATGTAATCACACGTCAATTTCCCATTTAATGACAATAGCTATTATGAAAAACATAGGCTTTTGTGAAGGGGATTACGAAAATGTGTGGGTCGATATTGTAAATGTTCCCACCTGACTTAATCGAGATGTCGAAAGTCTTCTTGTAATATGAGAACCCTGATTGTTTTAAACTTTTTTCTTTTGTTCTCGGAAAGAGAACACTAAAAAGTTATTTTTGAGTGCATATTTATATGGCAAAAATATTTGGATTTGCAAAGTTGGAATTATTTTGAAAATCTGTAAATCATTTCTCACTTTATAAGAGTTACAGTTTTTTTTAAAGGATATCCCTTTTGTGGAGGTGGTACCGGAAAAAGTGGACATTTCTTAGGTAAATAAATGTTAAGATGTGCAAGTGTACCAGAGACCCGAAGTACAATATTTAGTACTTTTTGTACTAAAACTACCTTTTGAAGTGTTTTCTTATTCGGTGCATAACGTTTTGAGGCAAAACAACTAATTTTATCGCTTTCTCCATCTCATTTTTCCATCTTCTGATAATTTTCAATGGAGGTAGATCGTGTTTTCAGTATTGCAGGACGTTCTACAACATTAGTATTACAGTAAATATAATAGCCCAGAACATAAAACGGGGGATCATTAAAACTTTTTTGAAAAGGCTGATTTCATTGGCATTCAACTTTTTTCATGCATCGACTGACATTCAGTCCCACATGTAGGTAGGCACGCACCATTAAAGTTTTCTCAAATTTTCCCTTTGTTTTTCCGTATTCAAAATATACACCCCAAATTTTTTCTTTAAAGTGATACAGTAATTATCTGGTTGAGAAAAAATATACAAGACGCATGCTCGTTCGTACTCTTCAAAAAAAAAAAAAAAAGAAACCAGTTTCAGAGTAGATAATGCTTTGCCGAAATATCAAAAGCTTTTTGTTGAAACAACGCCAATTTGTTACAATTGAAGTGAGCTTAATACCAACACTGGATAAGACAATACCTGAGAGATCAGTAGCAGTTTAACCGTTGAACGTTGCATACCCCAAAAAGTACGGTCGGTTTTCGTGCGGGCCGAGAGCTTACAGCAGAAGCAGAAGTTTTTGGTATTCACTTAAATCCAGCAAAAGTCAGGAGTAATATTCGGTTACATTTTTTGTCGTTTGGGTGTTTCAAAAACTTAAGCTATAGTTGCCATTGTAGGATTTGTTTTGTTGATGTTAAACGTGAAAACACCAATTTACAACATTTTTCCGATTTTATTTACATGTTTCGGCGTGGCCGATTCGATTGACTCCTACCACTCCACCATCCAACACTTGAAACAACAACAATTTGGAAATTCGTATTTTTTTCGGTTAGAATTGTAAAAAATGAAAACGAAAGCTTGAGAAAATAAAACAAAAATTAAAGGTAATATTGAAATATCGCAACCTTGTTAATCATTTTGAAAGTGTTGGTGAATCTAGCAAAAGGTCACGCTCGAAACAAAAAATATATATACAACAAATATGAAATAACATCAACAATCTAACCACAAACATATGTATGTACGTATCGTGTTTAATTATAAATAGACAATCCAAAAAAAAAAAAACAATATATGAAAAAAGTGACTACACACCACAAAAACCCAAAAGTACACACGAAAACAACTTGAACAAGCCCAAAAATAAAAATAAATAAACGTTCGCTTAGACATCCATCCAGATATTGGAGTGGTTATACTCTCACATCCATAGAAACGTTCGTCGCCAACTTATTCGTACTCTTCGTACTCAAAATAAACTTGTTTCCAGCAGCAAGAAAGCGCGGCGGACGCGCAACATCAGTGTGGACATTCAAACAAACAACATTTGCCTCGGATGTCAACTGCAACGCGGGCAACGTAAAACGGCAAAGGGGCCTCGATCATTAAAGTAGCTTGCCTCCCGACATTCGCAACTATTCGTCCGCTTGCACACCAACTCATTGTCGTCGTTATTCATCGGATATACAGACGACAGTGCTCCATTGTAGCATTGGATAAAATTCGCTTTACCCACCATATGATCGGTTCCAAACAGACATTCTCTGGCAGAAACTTAAAACATAGTCAAATAGGAGTGGTATATGTGTGTCCTCCTTGCCTCAACACTCGCAACAATCGGTGTTACTCCGTGCTGGTTAATCGTCTCCCATGCATGTCCAACAAGTTGGTCTAGTGTAAACTGTTGTTCTGTCTCTTTTTTTTTTTGGTATAAACAAACAAAAGCATAAACATATTTTTCATGCAGATGTATTGCGTAACTCCGATTTTTGCCACAGGAAATTTGGATGATATCAACTGAAAGAATAAAATCCCAGACTATACAACCAAGCTGCCAACCAACCAACTCACCTCTCAGCGACTTACATGCATGTGATATAATATTCGGGGTGAAAAATTAAGCAACATTAGGCCACAAAAGTACAAAATATTTTGACGCTAATTCGGCATCGAGTACGATCGCATTCTCATAACGCCAGCAACAGCAGCGTTTCTTTCCAATACAGTACTCGAGTGGCGGTGAGCAGCATGTTGCCTCGGATATATGTGACGTTTTTCGTATTGTTTGGATTTCTTTTAAGTACCGGTAAGTAAGTTTGTCAAATTATAGACGTTCTTTGTGTGCCACCGTAAACAAAAACGTATATTGCTGTTGCAAAATAGTTAGGCTTGATCCCGTTGTTGTTGTTTTTGCTTATTAGTGGAGAAAGAAAACGTTTTGTATTTTTTTCCTCACAATTCTTTTAGAAGAATGACTGGAGTATAAATTCATTTATGAGTGTTTAGAATATAGTTAGAACTACATTCATTTACATAATTGAGGATATGTTTCAAGATAATAATACGAGAAAGAAAAGTACCAATACAAATGAGTTTTTCATAATTATAGTTTTGGATGTCAATGAGAAATCTGAAAGATATGTTTATAACGTTATAATATCTTTGTATTCATATTAGTATTAACATACAGAAGTAGTTCCTAAATCATATGTTTAAGGAAACTACATTTCTGTAAATTAGTTTTTTTCGACAAGAACAACTCTTGGCCAGCTAAAAGCCAGTAGGGAAGGACAAATGTCGGGCGGAACGTATAGGGTGAGATGAAAAAACTGCAACCAACTTCAGACTGCTGTCATTTCTAAGCCAAGAATTCAAGCGTGATAGTGTGATTTCCTTATATTTGGCTGGAATACCACAAGTGGTTAGAGCACTACAGCATTTAAATGTGAATAAATCTTTTGTGTCTCGTACCATCGCTCGTTACAGAGATACTGGTAGGGTAGTCCGACATCACGGAAGTGGACGGATGAAAACAGCAACATCAGCAGAGATGGTTTTAAAAGTAAAGAAGTGACTCGATCGAAACCCGCGTCGCAGTGGCCGAAAAATGGCTCGTGAGATGAACATATCGAAATATTCCATTCGGTAAATATTGAAAAAAGTGAGCTCGGGATAAAGCAATTGAAATTCTAAAAAGTGCAGGAACTTACACCGCAACAGAAAGAAACTAGACTCAAAAGAGTTAAAGAGTTGCTTCGATTGACCGAAGGTGGTGAATTGTCGAATTTGATTTTCTCCGAGGAGAAAATATTCGTTGTCCAGCAGTTTGTAAACAAACAAAATGATCGTGTTTAATCTGAAAATGTGCACCTTCGGTTGGCCACCAGAACCCATGGTGATGGTGTCGGCCGATGGTCGCTCTCTACACGTGGCATCAGAATCAATGCCGGGTTCTATTCTGGAGGAAGCCTTGAGCAAGCAAACATTTTGGCCGCAGACATTGGACATTCCAATAGGACTCAGCACCATCCCACTCAGCACGCGCCACCCAAGAATGGTTACAAAATGAGGTTCTTCGCTTCATTTCCAGCGCACAATTCGTTGGATTATTGTGTCTGGAGTATTTTGGAAAGCAAAGTTGGCAGTAAAAGAAACCAAAGTGTCGATCATCTCAAGAAAGCGCTTCGCCGGTAATAGGCCAAAATACTGCAAAGGTGACCAATTCGAACAAATCTAAACATATTCCAAAATATGATGCTATTTCCGGCATTTTTTGCTTTTATTCAATAAAAATTAAAAAAATATGGCCTTTGACTTTGTTGCAGTTAATTCATCTAACCCTGTAGAATAATCCAACAAATACTGTCATTATCAAATGATGGGTTTTCTAACCAATTTTTGGCAGTCGTAATCTACTAATCAACCCACTAAGCCATAATTTTACAAAGGCATATCATCAAAAAAACAAAAAAAAAAAAAAAAAAAAAATGATACTGAAGAAGGTAGTTTGTTTAAATTGCCTTTCAATGGAGCTTACAAAGCTTCAGCACTTTTGGCTGGATGATACCATGCTACAACTTTCAATTTTATCAATAATTACAGGGAAAATCAAGAAGTTTATGTAAGCATACATTGCAAGTAAAATAAGAGAGTAAAACTTCCCCCTCTTTCACATTTTTTGAAATTTTCGGATTAAGATTCATTTGAATTCGTAGATTTAAGGTTATAGTGTCTTTGGCAATATTGCATATTAAAACAAAAGATGTCTTTTCGGACTTTTTTATTTAAATATGGTTAAAAACTCTCTTAAAATCGCAAGTCAAAATATTCTACAAATTATTTGGTTGAAATTCTACTATAGTACACATAACACATCAAAAGTCTATATGTTACCTAACCGGCAGTAATTTATATATATTAAAAAAAAATATATTTTAGGGTTAAAGCTGTACTTATGTGAATTTTTACAAAACCATAAACGGAGCCGTTAGGAGGATGGCGTATAAGACAATAAATATCTTAATCTCTATTCCCGTTATATATCAAGAAAATATTTATATCAATGGCGCCAAAAACAAAAAAAAAAAAATGTTACCTAACCCGCAGTAATTTATATATATTAAAAAAATATATTTTAGGGTTAAAGCTGTACTTTATGTGAATTTTTGCAAAACAATAAACGGAGCCGTTATGAGAATGGCGTCAAAGACAATAAATATCTAAATCTCTATTTCCGTTATATATCAAGCAAATATTTGTATCAATGGTGCCAAAAACAAAAAAAAAAAAAAAAAAAAAAAAAAAAAAAAAATTAAAACCAGTAAGAAAAGGTCAAAAGTCTGACGGGCCGACAGTGATACCCCACACAACTATGCGTATTTAGTAGAGTTCAAGAAACAAATAAGGTTTATATTGTGAATTTATGTCAAGTAGATTATAACCACTCTGAACCAAATAATATTGCTGTGTAGTGCATGATATGACTTCAATAAGTATTATATTAAAAAATATTTATTGGAACAATGTATATACCGGGCCAAGTTTCACTAAATGTTAAAATTCAGTTCAATATGAAAAAATCTATTCAATTTGGGTTGATATTACATATATGATGAGCAATAGCCGTAAAATCGGATAAATGTGTATATCGAAAGCTATATAAAAATCTGAATCGATCTCCATAGCATTTGGCAGAGGTATTTTCGAGCAGTCAAAACAAATAATGTTTGGAAAATTTAATCTCATTCGGATAATAAATGCAACCTGCATATTTTCACAGAATAAACCAAATTTTTACATTTAACAGTTTTTAGGAAAATTACATTCGAAATTAATATATTACTAGTAAACAGTATGTGTTTAGTGCTTTTATTGCTAATTTGACACCTTTCAATATTTATATTATAAAATAATTGTTTTTTTTTTTGGCAAATTTTCCGAATTCGCTGACATTTTTTTAAAAAATCACTGTCCAATAGCCAGTTTGGGTTGTAAAAAATTCCAAGTGGATTTGATAGTGCTCGATTTGTAGATCAAAACCCTAATGGTGTTTCGGGTTCTTGGTCCAACTTCTTTAATGCTTTTTATATGTCATGGTTTGGAGCTTTGGAATCATTGGTTAAAAAATCGTCCTTGTCGGTCCACATTTTGGTTAACGGTAACCCTGACTTCCAGATTTTTTTACGATCTTGTTATTTAATTTCGTCAGAATTTGATATTTTGAGTTTTTATTGTCAAAAGAGATAATTTTAAATAAGAAACATCGACAACAGATAGCTATCAGTGTTATAAAAAAGTTTTAAAAACAGTGCTGCAAAAGTATTTTTAAATTTAATCAAACGTAGATATCCGAAACGTAGATGGAGTTTAAAAGAATAATATCGAGAAGGTCTTAAAATATTTTTTTTGTATTTTTGTATGGAATGTCATCTTTTGTTTCTTTTTGTACTTTATTTAAAGGGTGCTTTTTTAAATGAAAATTTGAATGAAGAGATTATGTCTACTCAGAACTCTAAATGTCAAGTTACAAATGATTTGGTTTATAATTGTGGTCAAGAGATTCAAAATACCGATATGTCCCATTTTTAATACAAAATATACTTTAAACGTCTGAGTAAAATTTCGAATCAACATAATGCTTTCCTGAATTAATATCCGGTTTTGATGATCCCACCCCACTGTGTGTCGTTAGAGATGCGGGTGAGGTTTGCAAATGTTTTCCTACATCTGTAAAAATGGAGTTTATGACGTTTGCTTGCGTTGCAGACGATTTATTCCAACGACCGAATGAATGGTTGAAGAACTGCATCGGACGGATGGTTAACATGTGCAGATAACAGCAGTTCATCTTTTGTAAAACTGAAACAACTACAACAAAATAGCGGATACATAAATGTTGCGCATCCGCAATCGACTGTAAAAGTAGATTTAAAAATACATTTCCATATCGACTTCACATGCACAATTGAATGTGACGTGACTGCCAGAGAGGGGTTTCCAAACGTTTCCCCTTTTAAATTAATAGTTTGTTGGATATTGACAAATTTTCAATTTATCAGAATACTTGTAATTGTGAAATTTATTTAAAGTTTTAAAAGCTAAGTGAAAAAAGTGAGCATTCAGGAATAAATGATCAAAAATGTAACTTTTATACTCAGCTTGGTGGCTGATCAAACGTTCAACGTTTTTAGACAAACGTAGTATGGTTTGTGCCTCATTTACAGTAAATCTATGCGATTACGGGAGTTATATCTATATCTGAACCGATTTCGAAAAAGTATATCTAGGGTGTATATGATATCCTGGACATAATCTATTCTACTTGGTGTAAAAATATGCATTTCGTTGACAGTTAACGCGAAGTCATTCATACATGGACGCTACATCCAAATGTAAATCGATTACCTTGAATTTTAAACAAATTTACTGTGCAAAGCTTTGTCTATCGTTTTCAACAGAATCACTAGATTATGTAATTTTATAATATGAAATATACATATAATTATTTAGATCATCAAAATAATTTTTTCAGATCTTACAGAACTATGTTCTGCAATGTTTTATACCCTCAGTCACATGGTTACAGAGGGTATATATCATTTGATACGGCCAAAACGTGCTTCATCGAAAAAAACGGTTTTAGATCCTAGGTTTCTTTGGACTAAATCCGTTTCAGGACATTTGGAGGCGATCTAGCGATGCTAGGTCAGATACGAAATTGGACAATATAGGTCCACTCAATCAATCAAAATAATTTTAACTTTTATAAAATGTGATGTAAGAGTCCGATTGTCTTCAAATTACACA